GGGAAGGAAGGTAGGAACCAGAAGGAGAACTCCTGTAGCCTCCCCAGCAAATACAGAGCTGCCGGCCCCATCTCCTGCAGGTTAGGGAGGGGTGGTGCCATCAGTGCCAGGTGTTGCCAGTTCCCTTCTTGGGAAAACTCCAGGAAAAGGGAAACCTAGAGCAGAGAGATGCCCTACCAGTGGTGGCATCCCCACCCAGACACTCCAGACTGCTCCAATAATGGAAGCCCAGTGAGAGTCAGCCAATAAAGCGCAGGCCTGGAGGGCTTCTTCTTCAATGGGGCTCCCCACGGTGACCCCACTCCATCCCTTCTCTTGCAGCCACCTGATTCTTGTGTCCCCACTGTGGCAAGCCCCTGTGTGTCTCTGGCCCGCTGACTCCTCACTCACCCAGCAGCCCACTGGTCAGCAGTGCTGGAGCTCCCTCCGGCCCTCCCTCCTGAGTCTGGCACTGCCGCAGGTCTAACAATAGCCCCTGGCAGGGCCCCACTAGGCTGGGCACACTCCTCGGTGGGCCAGGACCTGGTTCCTCCAGGCCTAAGAAAAGGCACTTCCATCCCAACCACAGGGTCTCAGCAGGGATGCAGGCCAACCATTTACACACGTCTGCTGGCTTGGGGAAAACTAGCAGGAGGTATTCCTGCTTTTAGGGGAGTCAGATCCTCGCTCCTTTAAAGAAACTTTGCATGAGGGGCACCTGGGTGGCTCAGTGGGTTGAAGCCTCTGCTTTCAGCTCAGGTCATGATCCCAGGGTCCTGGGATCGAGCCCCACATTGGGCTCTCTGCTCAGCAGGGAGCCTGCTTCCCTCCTCTCTCTCTCTGTCTACTTGTGATCTCTCTCTGTCAAATAAATAAATAAAATCTTAAAAAAAAAAAAAGAAACTTTGCATGACACGCAGCATTTTCAGAGCCCTGAAGTTGGGGGCAATGACTTTTGGCAGAGGGGAGGAGAGAGGATAGTGAGGACCTAAAACGCAGGACATGGTGAGGTGAGGTGAGGTGAGCTTCTCCTGAAGCTGCTTTACCAGGCACTAAGCTTCCCTTAGTGCTGCTGGCAAAGGAACCTGAAACACCCCAGAATCTACCAGAGCCACAGACCCCTGGCTGGTCTTGTAATCAGGGTCTCCTAAACTTTCCATGAACAGCTGGCGATCTATTGTGCCCGCCCCGTCACGGTATTGGGACTCTCTTCTGTTCACAACAAAATCAGGTCCCGCAGCCCATCTCAAGGCTCATTCTGCCAGCTGAGCAAAGTGAAGGTCGAAACTGGGATGCATATTCTTGAAGGCGAGGTCTCAACTCTCAGGACTACAAACAGATGTTGGAACAGGAGAGAAATCAGAGGCCCATTAAAGCTCACCACATTTACCCACAGAAGTGGGACGGACTAACTCCCCCCTCATCTCCTAGGGGTCCTGAGTTCACAGGGGCCCCTGGGTGAGGAGGAGGAGGGATGGCAAGCTCATTGCTCCGGGGTCTTGCACGCTCTCTGCACCCTCTCGGTTGCGCAGGCAACTCAAAAGCCTTCCGAGCCAGGTGCTTGCCCTGGGAGCAGCCTGCTCTTCACACTTCTCTTGAGCACTGGGTGGACCAGTTAAACTAGTCTTGCCTTTCCTAAGCTGTTGTGGTTTTTTTTGTTTTGTTTTGTTTTTTTAAAGCTGGCAGGCCGCTACTGGAGGCTTTCCAGCCCACAGCTCGGCCAACCCTCATAATAAGAAAAATACTACTTTCTATCTGCCTCATTTAGGAGGTTTCTACTTTTTTTCCTTTGGTGGTTAACTAAATTTCGTCTTATATAACCACTGTAAATTTTCTAGAAATTTCCCCCATTTAGTGCCAGCAATTACAGAAAGTGTGTGTATGTGTGTGTCAATGAGAAATCTCCAGGGGAGTGACCAGGAGTTCTGGTGAATCTTCATAAGAAAATGGCACTTTGTGGGGCACCTGGGTGGCTTAGTGGGTTAAAGCCTCTGCCTTCAGCTCATGTCATGATCCCAGGGTCCTGGGATCGAGCCCCGAATCGGGCTCTCTGCTCAAGGGGAGCCTGTTTCCCTCCCCCCCCCCCCGCCTGCCTCTCTGCCTACTTGTGATCTGTCAAATAAATAAATAAAATCTAAAAAAAAAAAAAAAAGAAGAAGAAAATGGCACTTTGTTCTCTATCCACTAAGAAAGGCTCATCTTGCCCACTTTCCAGAAGATTCCAGTAGCTCCATGCTTTATAGATTCTTTAAGTCTTCTCACATTTCTTTTTGACAGAAAAGATAAAGTAGAAGGTGGGGAGGATGGGGTGATGAGAAATCATGGGCAAAGTATGTTATTGGCAAAACCAGAATAAACACCCAGAGGCCCAGACTTGGTTGGCCCATGGCCTCTGAAAGGCCTGTCCTACATGTGAAGTAGAACAGGCCCTAGACAAGCTCTGGAGACTTCCACTCCATACACACACTCCAGGGGGCAAACACCTTCTCTTATCTGGAAGGTTCAAATGTCTTCAGCAAACATAGAGACTGGATCCCGGGAGCCCGGCCATTAATGCGTAGGTGTCCAGGGAGAGGCTGGCCATCATTTCTGAAGCATCTTCATGGCCTTAAGTCAAATTCCACTGACAGGACCAGATGCAACACACTGCTCCTTGCCTCTGCTGGGAAGGAATGGCTTTTGCAGAAGAGAACCTTGAATTTAAAGCCTCTAATTCTCTCTCTCTCTCTCTCACACACACACACACACACACTCTCTCTCTCTCTCTCTCACACACACACACACAAACACATCCTGAAGATGTAGCTTTCAGTTACAGGAGGAGGGGAAAATGGGACCAGGATGGAAACAGCTGCACTTCTGTCTTGGGCTGGTTGGCCAACTTCCTCTTCCTCTAACGGGACTGTGAGTGTGACTTCTGCGGGTGGGATGTGCTCAGACTGGGTTGCCAAGCAGTGAAGGGGACAGGCAGAGGGGGACCTGCCCTGTGGCTGTGGGCACAGAGAGCTCTGGGCAGCACCAGGCACTTATAAGGCCCTCATTCCCAGCTCAGTGAATGGGGTGTGTGGGTACCTGTCACACAGGTGGCCCCCAAGAGCACTCTGTCCTCCACAGCTGCCCTTGCAAAGTTCTCCCTGATGACATCAAGAACCCAGTCCTGTCGGACGGAGCCCACTCTGAGGCTGCTTTGTGTTCTTATGACAGCAAGGCAGTGTCTACAGAGAACTCTCCCCAGCCACCCACAGGACAAAAAGCGGTCTTCACGAGGGCTCTGCACATGTGGAGAATGAGTGAACACAGTTTCTGAGGCCATGGCTGGGGAGGGCTGTGGGCAACGGGAGAAGACTCGACACCCTCCATGGTCCCAGGCAGAGACGAGGAGAGGAACCAAGTGGAGCTGGAGCATCCTTTAAGGAACGTGCACTGACGTGCACTGACGAGTCTGACAGGAAGCCCAGAGCTCACATGACAATGTTTCAGAGAATGGCAGCAGTCAGTGTCCGGGGACAGGGAGAAGGTGTCCTCAGGGTAGAACAGGGGCTTCCTGGATACCAGGAAATAGAGGGGATGGGAACGCTGGGGGTGGGGGCAGGGGCCACAACTTGCCTTGCAGCCTCTGACCCGACCAAGTACAACCGACTGAGGGTAGCTGGGACAAGAAGGTAACTAGCCTGCCCACATGCATGCAGAAATTTCGGCTAAGCAAGTAAGTAAGAGAGAAGAGAATAGTAGGGTGTGCTTTTAGGAGCAGGAGTAGATCAGATTTGTCAGATGCACTTTGTAGGAGCAATCTGGAATCATTAGGCCTCCCTAGACTAACGTTGGGTGGAGGCAGGAGTGCATCTGGGTCTGAGGAGGCAGGAGGCCAAGGACAGCTCTGGAAGGAGAGTCTACCTGGGACACTTTCATTGTCAGGATGGGGCTCAAGTGATCCCAGGCTCACCTCCCATCCAGTCCACAGACTGAGAACTCGCAGAACCCTTCCCGAGTGCTGCTCTGACTTCAACCCCAGGGAGCAGCCCAGTGACAGGGTTGGGACACAACCCCCTCCGATCCAGTGCCTGCTTTGGTAGAAGACGAATTTCTCTGGTGAATGTGGTCTGAAGACCAGATTAAGCACGTAACAGTGGAAGACCAGAGAGCTGCTGGCAGCCCACAGCACCCAGCACTAAAGAGAGGTGAGTCCACTCTGGAAAATGACAAGAGGAAACTCACGGAGGGGTTCACATCTTTGAGGGTGACTGTCTCAATCAATGGCCGCTGTAACTTCCTGACCACTGACCATGTGCCAGGCTCTGTACTGAAGAGTTTGAGGTATAAATATCTTACTTCATTTGGACAGAAAACCCAAGAGCCAGGTTACTGACAGTCCCATTTCATGGACAGAAAACCAAGGCTCTGCCATGCTGAGCAGCTTGTGTAAGACTGTACAGTCTGGAAGTGATGGAGGCAGACTTTGAATTCAGATTGGCTGGGTCCCAAATCTTGACCCACTGCATACCAGGCCCATGCTGATACTTCCTTCATCCACAGAGGTAGTGTGTTTCACGGGACGGCCTAGCCCGGTGATTCTACCCCTGTTGCACTCACTGCTCAGCTCTGAGGCAGCCTTCAAGGTGGGAAGCAGTGTGGGCTTGGCGGACTGACTAGGTGGCAGGTCAGCACTTTTATTCCCTGAAGGGTGTCTGCTCGCTGAAGCTATTGTGCTGTGCACACCAGCGGCACCGAAGCCTCCTCCCCCGAGGAGGGGGCGTTCTCCCCAGGCCCCCAATGGCAGGTGCATAAATGGGCAAAGGCCTAACTGAGCAAACTGAGAGCCTGTCCAGGGCCGCAGGCCTGACCCCTGGGCCTTCCTTCCTGTTCTGCTCTGCTTCCTTCCCAGCTGCTGCACCAAGAACCCTTGAACAGTCAGTTCCTCAACACCACGCAGGCGCTCCCGCCGGAGAATGGGGTGGCCACGCTGCCCAGAGCCACACCAACTGAAGACCCTCCCTTGGAGGGTCCCCCCACCAAATCCTTACCATTGTAGGAGAGGCGAGGTTTGCTCAGACACATTATAAAGTGCATTTCCATCTCATCAGAAGCCACAGACTTGGAACAAATGGGGCACTTGAAACCTGCAAGAGAGAACAGTATGAAACACTTCCTCCAAGCCAAGCACACCCACAACCAACACAGAGGCCCCAAGACAGCTATGGCCAGGGGGTTCAGGGCCAACGTGGAGGATTACAATCTAGATAGACCCTAGACCCGATCCCTCCTTCGCTCATTCTGTTATTTTCTCACAACCTCCCAACTCCCACTGTCCCGCCAGTGCTGTCCCTGCCAGGCCCCTCGGCAAATCTTATCCAAAGGCCCCGGGCTGGTTTGAGTTTTATTTTCCTTTAGACCCTTTCCCAAGGGGCTCTAGTGGGCAGCAGGGATAAGCAGGGATGCAAACAAGGCAAACAAATCAACAGTCTTGGGGACAAAGCGTTTAATAGCCCTCCTCCTCGCAGCCCTCAAACCACTGGCCTGGGCACCTGTGGGAGGAAGCGTGACAACAGTCAGGTTAGCACATGCATCCTTCACCTGCCCGCCCCCGCCCCCCGAACCAGGTAGCACTTCCGTCCCACCGGGCCTCCCCGTGGCTCAGGCAGCTGTCCTCTGAGTGTGTGGAGCAGCAGGGTGGCCCTCTGGAGCACTCCCAGATGCCACGCGCGCCTTGGCTGCGTGCCACTAAGAGTAACAGCTGTTGCACAAGACCCGGCGGACACAGGGTGGTGTGACCCTGCCGTCCCACCATCACGGGAGTCTGGATTGCTCATACATCCAAGCAGTTCAGTCAGAACTGTACCAGTATTGGAGATTTCCGCCGAGAATCTTCTGAGCTGAACTCGAGTAAACGAACACAGTCCCTTGACTTATTTTTTTTATAATCACCTTTTGAAAGATAAACAATTTCCAATTTCCCCCATTTCATTTTTATTGAAATTATTTTCAAACGATCAATTCTGCTCCATTCTACCAAAAGGATCTAATATCACTGGAAAGTTATTACTCATTTGTCCACATCAAATTTCACACATTGCAGCTTCTTCCTTTTGTGACCATAATTCCTACCTGTCCCCAAGCCTGGATTTCCTAGGTTCAATATAGCACATCTAAATCTTGTTGTGAAAATCTGACTCTCCTGTTAACTTTCCAAAGCGTTCTATGCCCAGTTTCACTGGACGCTGGTAATATCTATCGGCAACACTTCCTATGAAACTGGTAAGAAGTGGAAGGCTCATATTGACTGTTAGCTGCTCCTGGACAGAGGAGGAGGTCACACTTTTCTTCCCAGGGCCTTGTTCACTCTATATGGGAGCCCTGGACTTTGACAGCTGCAGGTGTAGAGACAAGAAGCAAGCCAGCTCCTGTGTCCCCATGTAGGGCATAAGCACTTTGCTCAAAGTCTTCTCCAAAACTTCCTCTTTTCAGTGACAATGAACTATAGGACGAGACAGAAAATCCAGTGTCCAGTTAACTATGGACAAAGTGGACCTCAGACTCCGGGGCACAATCCCTATTCCCCTGACCCGTTTCCTCAAAGATCGTGGGCATCCTGTGTCTCAGCTAAAAAGTCTTGCAAGTGCTATCAATCCAAGGATCCTGGCCAAGCTTTGAGCAAGTGCTATACTTTCTGATCTCTGGGTGGGTTATGAATCCATTAATAAAACCAGAAGACCGAAAAGAAACATGGTGGGCAGAGGGTCCATCCCCTGCTTTCTGGCAAAACCAGATCTCAGATGTGCCAGGCTGATTCTTTTCTAACCCAGGTCGGAAATCTACAGACCCAGTGTGACACATGTGGTGGACCGGAGAGTAAGGAACTTGAGTCTTGTACAACGAGGATGTCTTCACATCTACCCTAAGTCCCTCTGCAGCCTTGGTTCTGCCCTCATGCCCATAAACTAATATTAAGGAACATTCCACAGAATTACCAACCATTGAGAGATTGTCTCTATTTCTTCAGAGTTCTTCCACCTTTTTTTCAGGCTCAAAAGACCAAGGTTTTATGACACCTTAAATGACTACAGGACATTTCTAGTTTCAACTTGTTACACGTAAGCACCCTGTCTGCAGGCTGAGGGCACAGAGCTGAGAGCATGTCAAGCTGGATGTGGCCTGGACCAGCTCCTCCAACACCAGACTCTGACACAGTCGCTGGGAAGTGCTGACGTGAACTGTTACTACTGAGAGGCGGCCTTATGCCCCGCATTACTTACTTTTCTGATAACCTAGAACAGGTTCATGATTATCACTATAATAGCATCAATCACCCCCACGTCCCAACATGACTCCTTGAATGCAGGACAGGGAGTCGAGTTATAGCTAAGGTACGGGGAAGTAGGCCACCCAACGAGAAGGTCTACAAGGAAACGTCATTGGACATTTATGTCCCCGAAAAACAAACCAAGGTGAGACTCCCAGGGTTAGGCCAGTGCCCTCATTGTAAAGAGAAAGAGGCCTTGAAGAAGACTCAGGCTCAAACACTTGAAGGGGTGGGGCTGAGGCCGGTCAGATTTCTTAGCAGGCCACTGAAAGTCCTTTCTATCTAGGAAGAACAAGCTGACTACACGTGATATTGTGACTTACAGTAAGAACTATGTATTTGGTCTTCGTCCCCTTCCTGGCACAGAGTTCCTAACACCCTGGGAACTTCCTAACATAATAAGACCAGTAGTATTTGGTCTTTTGTCACTGGTTCCTGAATAGCTCCAGAGCTGTAATGTGAAAGGAACGTCTTGTTACTCATAACAAATCCCTTTCAAAGGCACCAAAATTTAAGTTAATGAGGTGACTCTGGGAAACTTCCTTGGTAAACTAAAGATGGGGGCTAGTTGCAAGGGGAACCAACCAGCTGATTAGAGGATCTGAACTTTTGGTCGCACCCTTCAACCCCTGGGGAGGGGAGGGGGCTAGAGATGGAGTCAGTCACCAATGGCCACCGATTCCATCAATTGTGCTTGTGTAATGAAGCCTCCATAGACCCCCCAGAGGATGGGGGTCAGTCAGCTTCCAGGGCAGTGAATACATGAAGATTCAGGGGGCTGGCACCCCAGGCCAGGATATGGGGGCTCCATGCCTTGTCCCTATGTCTTGTCCTCTGCATCTCTTCCATCTGGCTGTTCCTTTGATAATAAAATGGTCATCAAGTAAGTAAAATATTTCTTTGAGTCCTGTGAGTTGCTCTAGCAAATTAAACGAACTTGAGAAGGGGATCATGGGAACATCTCATTAAGTGCCAGTCAGGCAGAAGCAGAGGTGACAACCTGAACCTGTGACTGGTGTCTGAAGTGGGGGGCAGTCTCGGGGGACGGAGCCCTTAACCTGTGCAGTCTGATGTTATCTCTGGGGAGACAGGGTTGAAACTGGGTTAACTGCTCAGTGGTACCGGGAAAACACCTCAGAACAAGGGTTTTAAGAAGAGGTGGGTCAGGAAACATTACATCGGGAGAGGAAGCAGCGCCGTGGTAGGAAGAGACCTACATTTTAGCAAAAGCAGGGTTAGTGCCACTTGTGAGACCTTCCTCTGGAATGGGGGGCAGGGTTAAGGATGAATAAAGAACTCACAGACTATTACGTGAGTGGGAAATGACAAGATGACTTGGGTTTTCCAGCTTCGAGATGTGGTTAAGTAATCTCCACTCCCCGGACCTCCGTGTTCTCATCAGAAAGAAAGAGGACTTGGCCTCTCTCTTGCAAGGATCGGATGAGGTAAGAAACCTGCGAGTGCCCAAGGAAGCAGCTAATCAAACGTATCATCAGGCCGGGCAGCACGGAATGAGGAAGGAGGAAGAAGAGGGCTGGGGAAGGGTTTGGGGGGCCAGGAGACGGGGGTTGGGGGTGGCGGAGCAGCAGGGCACAGAGGCCATAGGTCACGCAGAGCGGGCCTGCAGAGCGGGTAGGGAGGAGTGGCCACCTCTGCTTGTCCCACTGGCTCCCTCTGCACTTCTGGAGCATCGCGCATGGCACTTTCCTAAACCCCATGTGGAAAGAGGCTCCCCATTCAGCCTGTGGCTCCCGCTCTTGCACCGGGTGACGACAGCAGCTCGAGTGCACTGAGTGGTCCCTGTGAGCAGCCGCCGGGCTGTGTGTGTCTCCTCACTTATGGGTTACGGAGGGGGTACTGCCGTGAGCTCGACCTCGCAGAGCCGGCACACAGCGCCCAGGAAGCCTCACCGCCTGGCGTGTGCCCTGCTTGCCGAGCTGGGCGACAGGAGGGCTGGTGTAAGGAGGATGGCGTTTTATGACAAAAGGAACATGAATGCCACACAGAGGCTGGGTATTACTAAATAATAACTTCAAATCCTCCACACTGTCCCAGCAGTTCCTTCTGAAGTACGTGGGCCTGGATAATCCCATACACGGAAGCAATCAGTCATTTTTTCCCTCCTAGGCATTGCTCACATGGAGGGACAGAGCTTTGCTCTCTACTTGGCGCCGAGCCTGTAACACTGGGGGTTAAAAGGCCGAGTTTGCAAATCACCTTTGAAAGGGAAAATAAAAGACAAGAGGTAAGGGGGAATAACTGATGTCCCCACCTTCTTTTCTGAAAGGTCATCCCATGATTCAGACGGGTGCTACCACTCTATTGCCCCAACCTTTTCATGTAAATGTCCAGTCACAATTTAGCATCAACAGAGCTACGGAATGATACATACTGTGATCCTTATGAGCTATCGGGAAGTTAAAGTATCTAGGAAATTTTGATACCATTTTGGAAAAAAGTTCGAGCCAAATTGAAATCAGCCCGTGGACAAAGACCAAGGTTCACAGAGTCGCTCAACTGATGAGATTGAGTCAAATTTCAGGAGAGCCCTTCATCAGCACTCAAGAAGTGTGTGCACAAGATGCTTTCTTTTCCTTCATGAGAAAGCTACAGTAGAGCCTTTGGGACAGGTGCTCCCTACCTGCCCCTGAGACCTGACTGCCCACTGCACCCCAGGAGCTGGGAGGCAGGCAGCACGCGCACCCAGCCACTCTCCCTCTCCCGATCTTATTTTCTGTCAGAAGCAGCACCCTGCACATGTTGGGTCTTTAATTTGAACAGAGAGGGAAGGGCCGGCTTCACTCACTGCCCCCAGCTTGC